AAGGTTTTATGACTATTCATAATTTAAATGTTCATTCAGTGTTTTAATGGCAATATAAACAATCCTAACACTGGAATTTGTATTACGTATCCATTTGGTGTATGCATCTCTCAAAAGGAATGCATATCTTAGTTACTTCCAAATGTTTATGGCTCATGACTTTGTCATAAGCTGTCTTTTATCAAGCCATTTAAAGGCCAAAGTAGACACAAGGAACTACAATAAGGAATACTGCAGCTACAAAGAAGTAACACTAAACAATACAGAATTAAAGATCTCAAAAGTAACAAACAACATCTAACTGAAAAAGCATGCTCAGTTTTTACAAATTTTAATCAAGCAATTCCTTGTACTTCTCTGAAACTGGACACCCAGCTTGCAAGTACTAACATGCTGTCTGCACAGCTACTGCTCCACAGACTGGAAACCTTACTGAATAACACCTAACATGGGTTAATCGAGAAGTTCTGTACAAAGCTTGCAAAGCAAGAAGCCAAGTTTACAGAATTCATACTTGCTACTTTTCTGCAGAATAACCATTCATCAAACAATTTGTAATTAAACCATGAAGTAGTTTTCCTAGTTTCTCGCTCTTTATCCACAGTTCAGCAACACCAAGTTTCCTGTTAATCTGTCCCAGAAGGCTAGGAGACCTCCCCCAGCTAAAAGCAATTGGAAGGACATCGGACAGATCTCAGCTTCAACTGGATGAAAGGACAGGCCAGTCACAGGAAAGGCAGCTACACTCAGAGTGAGTGTCTAAGGATTCTGATGGCAGGAGTTCACATTTAAAGAGCTGCCAAACACCTATGCTACAGTCCTCTTGCAACTCTGAAGCACGCTAAAGAGCGTCCCTGCACAGTGACAGGATGCATAATCTTCAAGACTAGGGGCACCAACAGCTCGCTGTAGGCCAATTCCCTCGACACCCTCCTTGTGCTGAGAGAGGACAGCAGTACCAAAACCTGGAAAACCTTACCTTTGAATTTCCTCTAATGAGTGGCACTTGACTCATTAGGAGCATATGGGTAAAACTCAAAGTAACATAAAAAAAGGCACATCACGTTTACTTTGATAACAGTCACACAAGCCATAGCTGATGGACAAGTTTACTCAGAGTCCTTCTTTCCAAAGAGTTTCTTTTTACCTGTCCTTGCACTTTACCACAACTTTATCACTGACACACAGATTCTTAGTTCCCCTGGAATAATGATCATACTCTATAAATTCTTCAGTCAACATCATTCAGTTTGCTGCAATTCAATGCTAGGAATAAGATCAATCTGCATGTCCCTCCAGTAGCTTCAGCTGTAACTCAAACAGGAGATGAACTGAGGTGAAAGACTTGTCTGAGGTAATCATCACACCAAATACACTCATTCAAGAGTATCACCACAGACATACAGGAACATCATGACTAAAAGCATTTTTCTCACCAGTCACGTAGATTTGGCATTGCAGTTGATCCCATAAAGGCAAAAAAAGAACCATTTCAACAGACACTCCATCAAGAACTCAAAGATGCCATCAAACACATATATCAAGCCCAGGACACAATATGGACCCCACATATTGCCAGGAGATCAGAGGAAAATAGTTACTTTAAAAGTAACTGCACTTCCCCCTTCCATAGCTCTGGTTTTGTTTTTAAAAGGTCTCCACCTTCTTCACTGATGTGAACATGTCAAACACTGCAAGTAAAGTGGCACTAGAAGCAAGGTTTTCTTGTTTCTTCCTGTTAGAGATAGTATAGAAAACTACAACAAAAGGTATTACAGTTATTAGCAATTATCAGCCATTACACTCCAGTGGTTCCACCCTACTGCATTACCTTCGCTGCGCAACTTATGGCCGCTGTTGGTCAACGCAGAAAGGCAACAGCCACACGCACATCCAGCAGGACCCACAGCACAAGTCAATTCACCAAAACCTATTGTGGGTTCTAACAGCACAGCTGCTAGTGTTTTGAGTGCACTGGTTTAACTTTCCTGCAGGATTCCCAAGTACTCCCCCCTACACATGCATGGTTATGTGTATCTGTGTCTATGAGCTAGCACTCATTTTTATGAAGGTATTTAAGAACATGGAAAAAACAATGGTGAAACCTCTGCAAATATTTGAAGATTACTGAAAACACATTGGCAACTTGGTATTTAGATTGCAGTAACCAGGAAAAAAAGTGATATAAATTTTATGATTAAAAAAAAAAACAACACAAGTCCAACCAAATGGCAGAGCCAGGAAAACCCAACTACAGGGGAATGAAAGCAGAAACTGGAGAGCTAACAGAAGTCGACAATGCACAGCCATACTGGCAGCAGCTTGAGTTATTCCTGATGCAACAACTAAATACTAACCAAAGCAGTTTAAGGGAAGTAACTTAAGTGGAGAAGCGCCAGAATAATTAGGGATTAAAACAATTAATCAAAGGGAAGGAAAAGTTAATGGAGTATAACGTGAGTTCATACTGCTTGGTGGAAAGTTACATTCTGAAATAACTTTATGGTACTAGAAAAAAAAACAGTTGTGGAAATTTAAGAAAAATTCAGTATACTATCTTGTTATTTGGAGGACTGAAAACTATCAAATAGCACTGACTTTTTTTTCCAGAAAATATAAATATGCATAGCCAATATATTCTGCAGAATAATCTCAATGACAACAGAGGAAATAAGAAGGCAGTAAACAACTTAAATTTTCCCATGCCCTTATCAGAACAACTGCTGAGTCTAAAAACATCCTCACACAGGAGTTAGAAAAGGATGAAACTTCACAGTGCAAGTGCTCCCTCCAAAAAAGCTAGGCTGTTCTCATAAAAAGTGAGAATGTTTAAAAGAAGCTGTACAACAGCCAGCTACACTTGTAAACACTCAAGAAGCTCTGACTCTTGTTTCTCCTTTCACAGGAGAAAGCAAAATAAGGAGCATTAACCTCACCCTGCTTCAGCCCCACTCCTGCACAGCCTGAGCGGCCCAGAAACTTGCCAGGTAGCCCCCAGAACCCATGGGATATAGGCAGCTTTAGAAACACTTGATTTTCCTGATTTACTGTTAAATGAGGTTATATTACAACAGTGAATTAAGAGAACAAAATGAGCCAAAGAGAGAGAGGGCCTTCTGGGTAAGCAATCATTTCAGCAATCTTTGCTTAGTCAATATCTAACACGGTACTTGCACTCACAGGGCGCTCAACATCCAACTACAAGATGCCTCCAATCATAAAGCACTACTGGCACACCTTAACATCTTATATGAATGTTAAACATATTACATTTTATGCATATATGTTACACATACATAAAATCATGTAAATCAACCCTCATCATCAAGACAGCTAAACTGCATTCCACAGTTTCTATTGCAAGTAACACTATTTTGCTGGACTGCTGAGATCATTAGTTACTTGGCATGTTAGATCTCAGCTCAATGCTAAGCTCTGAAACTTACAAAAAATACCATATTCAACATTTTCCAAGATAATCTGTGCAAGAATTTTTGCTTTCAAAAAAAAAAAAAAAAAAAAAAAAAAAACCAACAGGATGAGGCACCAAGTTATGCATTCCAATTAAATAGCAAGCCTTCACCTAAACTGCTCAGAAAGATACTACGAAACCAGTCTTAAAGGTGACATTTAGGAAAAGTTTGACATTCAGTCAAATATTTTAAAACTATGGAACCTTTATATACAGAATCACATTTATATTGTGTGGCAAATGATGCTGAACAGAGTTTTAGCATCAAAACCATCTGATTGTTTCTACAATTACAAGGCACAGTTACAAGGCAGACTGATCTCAGCCAGGAATCACAACTCGGCAATATTTTTAAAAAGGGACCACGTGAATTTTAAATACAGCCTTGTTACCATGCAACACAATTAACCTTTATGAAAACAAAGCTCAAAAGCAAACTACTGCTCACCCACAGTAATTAGCAGAGAGAACTAATTGCTGGTATCAGCTCACGTGGGGCAGCCACTGCAGTGCATCACTGTACCTCCACAGAAGTACAATGTATGTCAATGGGAACAGGCAATTATCAGTGCCTATTTTATTTAGAGACCCAGACTGCAGCCATTCTCGTCACCACCGCCCACTCCGAAAACATCAGTGACAAAAAGCCAGCAGGTTGCAAAAGTAAGTTGCATTCTATGCAAAGCTTACTCCTCCAAAGAGTACTGTGTGTTCCATCAGAAAAAAAGATTAAACACGAACATCTGTTTGTAACCTCTGTATCACTTGATTTGTTAGGTGAGGTGCAGTATTAAAAAAACTTCACATTATAGCTAGTTTTAAACTATCTCAACTTTACAATGAATTGGAAATGCCCATTAATTATTTGCTTTGCCTGCCACAGCATGAGTGGATCTCTTAGACAAATCCCACACGTGGGTTAGCATAGCACAGAGCCTGTCACACCTCACCTTGTGAAAATAAATAAAGCGCCCCAGCACAATCTTCACCCAGGTGTCAGATGCCAGAGCTGTGCCAGCAGCAAGGACACGCATAACCCTGGTGAGAAGGGGATGCTCGGTTTTCTGCTTTGCTCCAGAACTTGAAATAAACGGGGAGGAAAGAGGTGTTGATTTTTGGGTTCTTTTTGGTGTTTGCCCCTCCCCCCCATAAATATTAGCACTGCTGCCTCGGAACCATGGTATCGGTTACAAGCTCAGCGACCTCCCCAAGCGCTCTCCTGTCCTCCGGCAGTACAGACGGGCGCGGAGCAGCAGCGCACGCCCTCGCTCCCCCTCACAGCCGCGCCGGACCCCACAGCGCACAGCCGGGAGGGCTTCTCCTCAGGACCCACCTGCGCTCCCGCCGGGTTGCGCACCGCGTACTGCGGGCGCTCGGCCGCTCGGCAACGCGGAGACGGAGAGCGGGGTGCCGCTGCCCTCCAACCCGGCCCCGCGCTCGCAGCCCGGCCAGGCTCGCCCCCGCACCGCACGCGTTACGCCGAGCTCCCGTTAACTGAAAACAATTATCAAAAAGAAACTTTTAAAACCTGAAGTACTCTTGCCGGCTCTCAGATCGCCGGCTCTCAGATCGCTCAGATCGCCACCTCCTGCGCTCGGCTTGGGCGCTCCCGCAGAAGCCCGACCCGAGCAGCGCGGCGCCCGCCCACCTCGCAGCGTGCCCCGCAGCCGCACAGCTCCGTCGCTCCCTCCCGGCCCGTCCCGTACGGCGAGGGGCCCCGCACCGCCCTCCAGCGCACCTGACGCCCCTCGCTCCGCTCACCTGGCGCCGGGCCGCCCCTGGGCGGTGCTTCCGTCGGCGGGGGCGCGGAGGGGGCCCGGCCGCACCGTACGGCTCAGATGGCCGCAAGAGGCGCAGGTAGAGAGCGGGAGAACTGGGTCAGCGACTAAAAATACTGCCCGGCGAGCAGGGAAGGAGCTCCGAGACGCTGTCGCCCCGCTGGGGCTTCTCGGCGATGCCGGGCCCGGCGCAGCGGGCACCTTCCCCTCAGGCGGCGGCGGCGGGAAGAGCTGCAGCGCGAGCGGAGCGGCGCGGGCTGCGAGTGACGGCCAATGACCGCAGAACTCTTTCTTTTTTGTTTAACCGCGCGTGGCTCCGCGCACGGCGCGTCAAGTCATGAGGGCGCGCGAGCGGCTGCCTCGCAGGCCCGCCCGGCAGCGCGGCCCGGAGTAAATCATTAACCCGGGGCAGCGGAAGGGCAGGCCGGACCGCATTCCCCTCGCCTCGCCTGGCCCAGCCTGGCCGGGACGCGCGCCCTCTCGCAGCCCCGCTCACGCCTGCTCGCCTCGTTGGGCCCGGTGCTGCCGTCCCAAGCGGGGCACCGTGGAAAGTGCCCAGTTGTTCTGCAAAGTCAGCCGGGAGCTGCACGGGCCGGAGATGAGCTTAACGGTGTGCGGCGGTGCCGAAAGGCCCGAGCTGCGTTTTCTTTATGGCATAAGCTGCCAGATTTGTGCTGAGTTTATGCAAAATAGGGTACGAATGGAAATAGAGCTGAAGTTCATGCGTTCAGTGACAACCGCTACAGCTTTAACTGCCATAGAATCATAGAATCATGGAATCGCTCAGGTCAGAAAGGACCTTAAAGATCATCGAGTCCAACCATGACCTAACCATACTACCCTAACCCTAACTCTCTGCTAGTACTAATTTATAAATGTAGTATTACTTAGGAAAATGCAACATGTACAGAGCACCATCTAGTGCAAGATATCACTAACAAAGTCTTTCTACTACCACTTGTCTTCATTAAGCTAATTCGTTATGGACCACCATGCTGAAGAAAAAGCCAGCCCTGTGGCTCTTGTGACAATGTAATTACTTGGGGACCTTCAGCTCATGGCAACAAAATTGGAAGCACTGAAATTCAGGTAATCTTTTGTGCTAATGACATACTTCTAAGAAGCATCTGCATATCTTCATGCCCATAGTGCTGGGCAGATACTCTCATTACAATAAATACTGTCCATCTAGTTATAAATGAAACTAGACATTGATTCCCAGAATATTTTAGTGACCTAATTGCCATTTTAGATTCCTTAGGTGCACCATTTAGCACCTCAAAGCCTTTGCTCAGCTTCTGCAGAATCTCAGTATTACCCAGGTTTCTTAAGCCCAGGTATTCACCAGTCATGACTAGTGGGTGAGATTAAATATTTGATTATCATTAAAAAAAAAAGAAGAAATAAAGGAAGTGTAGATTCAATAGGAGGCAAGCTAAAGAAACAGACAATTACTACAAATCACTGAAGAAGGGCAGAAAAGAGCAAGGTACAGGGTTGGGTTTTTCTTTTTGCAAGGGCTGTGTATCAGTTCTCTTGTAAGCAACCAAATACGTGAATTGGGCTCCAGGGTTGTTTAATCAATATTTGGATAAATATTATATTTCTGATGCAATCTGTTTAGCATTAGGGTTGGATTAAGAGGAATTGCCTTAGTTAACTGAACATGTAAGCAATGTAAGCTGGCTTTTATCCTGCACTAAATAAAGGTTGAAACGGGCCACAGCGACTTGGAAAGGACGATTTTTGGATGGAATACTATGTTTTCAAGCCACTATCACCATCAAGATTTATCTAACCTTATGAAAATGAACAAGCATTGTAATGTTTTTCTTTGTACATTTAAATTCTCTATTGCATATGGAATTTGGCTGAATGCTTGAAACTCTGCTACTTCCCTGTTCTCAGACCAGCTGTACTCAGGAAAACCATCATTTTTTAAACAGCTCCATTTTTTTTTTTTTTTTTCTAAGCAATTGCAACAAGAAAACAAGACAGAAACAAGTGGAAACTTTTGAAAATCTAGATGTAGAATACTTTCCTGGATACTTTCTTTGCTCTTAATGCTTCTTTCACAAGTGCAAAAGAGAACCCACTGCTGAAGCTAAAAATAAGAAAGTATACAAACTTAGATGTTCATTCTTTTTGATCTAATGAGAACTAAAGGAACTTGATAAACCTAGCAAGTAGTAGTTTGATCTGTCTTTCTGAGCATACTATTTTTTTTAAAAGCAATGAAAAACAGCTTTGACAGAACAGAACATTATACTTAAGGATGTTCAAGAATTTGTGTTAGGAACAGTTTTGGGAACCCATGCTGTATAGCTGAAGAGAAGTTTCCACTGGAAATAAGTAGGCCAAATTTTAGTGCCTCAGCTCTTTATTAGCACATACTGGACATTTAGAAACAAGTGCTATAGCATAAAAGGGTCTTTAGCCATTCATTTAATTCTCTTTAGATTACAGTTTTTATTGTTTTGATCTCCAAAATGCTTAGCAAATGGAAAGAAACAGACAGTGGAAAATACAATTATATTTCTCTTGAACAAATATTACAAGATGCACTTCTGATCACATTGTTCATTATTAAATCACGACTGACAATATTTTACTTGATATAAATCTTATAACCCTAAAGAAAAAGAATCAAGGATATAACAAGTGGTATGTATTCATTTTCAACTGTTTGGGAGTTACTATGTTGTTGTCTAATGCCTCAACAGCAACAAAAACAACTGGCCTTTATTCTGCTATCTTGTAAGAATAATGATTCCCCTAGAACAAGTTTATACCTGTTAAGGAAATAATTACCAACAGCCCATGTCAGGCTGTTTATACTCATTAGTTGAAAGTAAAGAGTTCATATACTTGAGAATAACTATGATATTTTGAATTACATCATCTCTTTCACATGTTTTTAATTTAGCCAAGATGATCTACTGCATGAGGAAAGGCCACAGAGAGATGGTAGGAATTAAATATTGTATTTGTGTACTGCCAGCAGTATATGAGGTGCTTTTCAAAGAGCTAGGTAGGATGTCAAAGTCCTTGTCCTGAAAAGTATCCAGTCCAAATAAACATACAAATGCATTTTAAAATGTGCAAAGATTTTTTCCTCTTTAGTTTTATGATATCCAGTAAAGAAAAGGAGTAAGATTTTATACCAAGATGTGAGAAAAGTACTCACTCAGCTGACGGATATCATTAACATTCTCATAAGTAAAGAAGGAGGAGGAATTTATGCTGAAGCAAACAAAAAGTATTGCTGCAGATTACTTGAGTGCAATTCATATGTGTTAGTAAAAGTCTGTCTTTAATTTCAATTTATATGATTTATCTTAACACTCTCCATACAAGCCAATCTTTCCAGCTTTTACAATTTCTACATAATGTCATCCCTGGTTTTACAAGGAATTAAATCTTCCTCCTTTTATAGCAGCATGATTTGAAAATAATGATTTAATACTGAATGCTGGATATATGCATATCTATATATATGCACACATACTTAGGCCAGGCTCCTTCCAGTTACAGAATTACATTTCATTAGGTAGCTTCCTAGAGAATGTGCCTGCTCTTCTCCATGGCAGCATACATTCATCAGTTGTTTTTGTTGTTACTGACTGCTACAGTCTGTTCTTGTGCTAGGCAGCCAAGCTACAGCTAGGCAAAGTTTCTCTTGTACAAGGAAAGCATGGATCTGTAACTTGAGAACAGGAAAGGCCCAGATAGCCAAGAGAAGAACTGAGAAAAAGGAGAAGCTTGGAAGCATAAAAACTTAGTGATTGAAAAGGGCATTCAAACAGAGCTGTGGAGACTAACAAATACATAAAAAAAAGTTTTATGGAGTGAAGTACTAAGAACCTTTAAACACCAGATTTTTAGATTGCACGTGAAACCTAATTCCCTCTATGCATTATGATAGTCTACACTCAAAGCATAGCTTACATTAAAAATAGTCACAGCCTTTTGGTAAAGATGTTAATATATTATTGTCCACAATATCTATCTGGTTACCAAAAAGAAGAATGGCAGAATTACAACCATCAAAAAACATTACATTGAAGTGATACGACCACCTCTAAAAATTCAACTGATTCTTGGCTGATGGGATCCCTTCTCTTCCTCCAGTTTCCTCCCTCATTCTTTATGCATGCTATGTACAAAACATGTTCAACAAATAAATTGGAGGAACTTACAGGCAACCAATTTCTTGTAAAGCTTTGATTTGTTCTTGTATGGGAACTGTTGAGTCACAGCCTGAACCACTGGTTGAGCGCCTGGGAAAAGGACTCAGTCAGCCCTGAGAGCACAGGTGAAGGCAGTTCAGCTCTGTGACCAGGAGGGCTGGAGCCTGGCTGCACCTCTCTTAGTCCTCATGTAAGGGCTGACTGCCAGTGGGGAAGGATCCCTTTCTGGAAATCCCTTCTTTGTGAAGCTTTCCCCTGCGAACCTAGAATCTTCTTCCCTTCCTTTATAGCACCTTTCTATTGTGCCAGTCTTTCCATCATGACACTTCTGTTGCATGTCTTTCCCATTGTATTGATAGTAATTGCTACAATTCTGAAGAAGCTACTTCCACAAGGAAGCTAAACTTAAAGGTTCTATTTAAATTGCCTTTTTGGATGCAATGCAATCCATTTTAATTTTTGAGACGTAATAGTGACATTTTTTCCTATTAAAAAAGTAAAAGGACTTCTAGTTACCTTCCAAGACAAATTCTCCATGTTGATAAAGATATCCTTTCTCCTAGGCAAACTCTGCCATAAAAAAATAATCCTGTAGGCACATTAGCAGTAGTACTTGTACATATGGATTCATAAACCATATCTTCTCATTTACATCTCAGAAAGTTATTAATTACAGAGGAATTATTCTAGATTTATATAGACATAGGTAATAACCCATCTGTTTACTTTGGATCCATTTGCCAGAAGATAAATCTTAATAAAATATTCAAAAAATATTTGGTTCAAAGTGTGCTGGTCTGACCTTCATTACAACAGATTTCAGAGAGTACCACCACCCATGCCAAGTGTACCAAACTATTCCATTGTCTGTCTTTGCAGTATAGGGACCTTTGTAGTACAAACCATTCAAGTTGGCTGAGTGACACCTGGTGGAAAAGTAAAGAAAAGATTAATACGATCCCATCTAAAAGTTGCAAGCACTTCAGTTTCTCCACAAGTAAGAAATTCACTATGTTGGTAACAGCCCAGTCTGACATTTGCAGAGATTTACATCTATGGACTGCATTGCCCCTACACACAAACAGTTTAATTAGGGCACAATTCCAAGTACTCTTAACATGTTTGAAACAAAAGTTATTTCTGTTCTACAAGTTTTCTGAACTTAGTGGGTCTCCAAGTTCTGCCTGTTAATCTGTCTTAATGAAAAATAATTCCAGAATCCTTTACGTCACATGTAGCAGCAGAGCCTACAAGAAATACTCTGAGAAAGAAATGCTGTGCTGCTTATTATTGTTTCAGGGCAGCCCTTCTGATGTTGTGCAGTTACATACATACTGTGTTACATGACATAACATGAATACCACCATTAGTTTGCCTTTCAAACTGTTGATTTCTATTTAAAAATGCATTACATCTCACAGCTAGTTTAAGAGATCTATACCACTTCCATGAGTCATCAGAACTGGTATTCTATTTGACTGAACTAACTCCTGTTTAACATACTGAAACAGAAATGCTGTTACAGGTTGTTAAGTATGCTGAGAACAAAACTAGCCAACCTAGCAAAACTCTTAAAGGCTTGTCTAGCTACCAGCTCAACTTTGATACTACTTTTTTGTAGAAACCAAATGAGTAAGTTTACACTTTCATGTCTTCATATGGAGAGCAAAGTATTTGTTTCTTCTGCAGCACATTGCAATAGATCTTCTTAACTTATCTGCCAATTCAAAATTTTGTCATAAGTGTTAATATTATGTTGTTAATATCTGGTTGTCAGACACCACAGTATTACAAAAGCAGACTTCAGAAAACATTAAAACAAAACAGTCCAAATTAAGCTTTTGGATATTTTTACTGGCAAATCTTGGCTTTGCTTACACCTCATTAGCAACAGTTTTGAGAAATGAAATAGAGGGATAAAAGCCTCACAGGAAAATTCTCATACATGAATGCTTATAATTATATTCAGTGCTTATAATTTATAATTATTTTTGTTAATAAATAGGTTGAAAGCTTACAAATCACAGATACCAAAAGTGACCTTGGTTTTAATAATTATGAACTTGTGTCAGACCTTACAATCTTTCTAGCCATACAAATTCTGAATTGAGGCAGCACTTTGTTTAAACACACTTCAAATCAAAAATGATTTTGTTAGAAGAATTGTAATCAGTAAATCCTCTTTTACTTCTTTTGATGGAAACAGTCAGAAGTTGATTTTGTCAGCAGTACTGTGAGACCATAATAACCCTTAATTAGTGCTAGGAGGCACTAATGGCAAAAATACATTTTGTAAAAGTCTGGAGGCAGACTAAAGTAACTGGCTGTGGTGCAAAAACAGTTGGCATGACTACTGATACGATTTTCTGAAGCAAAAAGTCAGTAGTCACCTTAAAGTTAGCATTAGCATAAGCACCTCCATTCTTTCCAACAGGCTAACTTTTAAAGCCAAAAACCCTACAGCAGTAGTTTCAGAAGTACAGCCAACTCTCAATTATCCATCGAAATTTTGTCCGAGTTTATATATATAAAGTTTGTGACAGATACAGATAGATGGAGTTGTTCCCTGAAGAATTATTTAAATTTCTGCCTGGACTTACTGACTCCAGCACAGCCCTACATGAATGTAGCTACACTGTCTTCAGAAGATTGGTGAGACACAGAGCCTGATGGAGACTTGTGGCCACATGTCTGCCAAGTTCACTGCAGTCATACATGCATTCTGCAACTAAAACTGGGAATGCTGAAGAGAGAATGAGCTCATGTCCACATGGCCTGTAAGCTCTTCCTTGGCAGTTCTAAACCTACTGATCTTTGCATTATCCTGGAAGAAGGAAAGCTGAGTGTAGTACCAGAGAGAACCTAGCACAGTGAATTCCAAGCTGGAAATCTCTGCTTACAAACAAGTGCAGAAGAATGTTCTCTCTCCAGGAGACCATGATAAATGCAGAGCTGGATCAAGAGATATGAGCTATTTTCTACACCTCACTTGTATCACATCCTTTGGTATTCATATTATCTGTGTTTCTATATTTCATCAGGGTAGATAGCATAGAGCTGGCTACAAGAAAATACCTTCACAGCCGGGAGCTCCTACACAAACCAGCCAAGAGCACTAATTTCTTCTATGTTTGCTAATCTGTGCATGACATACTTGTGCTCTGAGTGCTTTCTTTTCTTTGAGCCTGCCAGGATTTCAGTCTACTACAATTCTCTAATATTTTGCAGCTTTCAGTTTTCTATTAAGCTTAACATAAAGTCAATAGCAAGATACTACTACTTTTCATTCTCTGTCAATTTAAAGTTAAAGTACTGTCACTTTAACTTTGTCAGATACATATCCATAATAGGAACTAGCCTGGTAGGAGTCAGCTATCTTTAGTAGTTATGTAACACCAACTACAAGGTATTAATAACTGTCAAGTTCTGTTGTAGAGCTACTTCTGCACAGAGATCATTCTTCTGTACAGGCCAATCCAGTATTAAAAAACTAAGTTTTTAAAAGACAAAAAAAAATCATTTAAGTGGGTGATTATTCACTGTTAATAAATCTCATGCCATGGTATCACAGTTTTATACTATTCAAGGTGTGGATTCCTCTAAATACAGTGATATCTTGAGTAAAGTATCTCCCACAGTTTATTTTCCCCTTTTTTGATATCTTATTTTTCATGAGAACTGCAAGAACATTTGACTACATGTGAATATTTTCTGTATGCCTCAAACACTGCCAACCTACTACCCCTAAAATGTATTAAAATTATTAGTTGTAAAACTCTGAGCCAGGAGCTACTTAGTATCAGTAGTGCTGGTCACAGACAACTTATGGAAACAGAACTTGGAAAATAAGCAGTTAAACAGGAACAAAGGATGACACAGAGAAACAATGGAGTTGATTCAGTCTGGCAGCTCTTGCCCAGCGAACTGAGATCAGAATGAAAGAGTAGTGTGCTTTTCTGAGCTGTATTTTAAGGCTAATACCCAGATCATTTGTTCATATATTATATGGCTGTATTTTGTATGTGAAGTATGTGAAACAATAGAGCTGCCTATGTATATGATGCTAACATTATCAGTTTTAGTCTTCCTTTTAGAATTGCTTTTGTATAGGTAAGTAGGGTTTAAAATTTCTGTTAATGAAACCTATTTAAAATTATTTTCCTCTCAGTCCAGTCGTGTGCAGTGACAGAAACTGAGTGAGCATATTCCCATCTTGATATAGAAGGAACAACAAGAATGAAGTGTTAACAAATAAAAATATATATATATATTGCTTGTTAACCCAGCACTAGCTTAACTCATCAGCTATTCATCAGTACTGCCACATCTGGTCTAGTGAAACACAGGAGAAATACAAGAATGAAGCACAACAGGAACATATCTGCATGACCTATTTATGTAAATGTTAGTTACCTTGAAGGGACAGAATTGTCTCCTCCTTACTGTCTGATAATAGAATGACAAAGCCTATGACAAACACTGTTTCATAGATAAGCTTGGTCAGTGCAGTAAGTGAATCTCAGTCCTAATAGCACTGGAATGTCTGCTAGTGGTCAAGGGCAGATTGCAAGTATAATACATAATGATTTCTACTTATCTTCTAGCAGATATTGCATGAATACAGGTGAAGTAGAAAGACAATGCAGATATAAAATCAAAATACCTGTTAAACCACCAACCAGCCTTCTCCTCTTCAGCACAATTGCCTTCATAGTTGTCATTGTCCCTGTCTCTAGTACTGAATTTCATTCCACGATGATCAGCCCACCATTTTACTTCAGGATGAAACCCCCCAGTTAGAGAATCACCAGCTGTACCAGAGTATTCACCACAGCTCATCTGATAGGAGTGCTAATGAAAATTGTGAAGAAGGAAAAAAAAGTAATCCAATGTGCCTTCAGTATGTCAGGGAGTAAATCTGCAAAGAAACTAACTTGTTCCATTTGCTACTATTCATGTGCCCAGGAGTGCCATGCCACTGAAACACTGTGCTAGTGAATAAAGGAATATACAGATGCTTACCAGAGTAAAAAGCATTCTGTAATTTTATGTAGAAATAATAAAAGCTATTAGTTGGTTTAGAATACATATTGAGAAATTATGCACCATTATTGCTGATAACAATATCAATTGAAAAACTGCTTGCATCCATAACTGCTAAAACTAATGATTCATACAAATTCCACAAGGTATGAAATCAGTACATCCATATAAACCACTATTATGACATACTTGAAAATCCCAACCATTTGTAAGAAAGAATACTTGTTAGCAAGGCTCAGCATAAATCTTTATGAAAATAAAGGCACATGTATGTTTATTACCTGCTTATGAGTCACATTTTCATTAAAATCACCTGTCATATTAACTATTTTATTACCTTTTCATCTGCAACTCCGAATCTTGTATATTGTGCATAACGCCGTTCTCCTTCAAAATCACTTAGATCAATTCTTAAAGTATAGTTTCCTTAAGAAATAACAATAGAAAATATTTTCGTAAAACTAGCCTATCTTGCTACTTCTCAGAACGGAGTATTATTGTAGAATATTAAAATACTAATTATGTTTTTAGTATAAATCTTATCTGTATCATATCTTTTAATCTTCTTTCATTATGCCTTTTGAAGTAACATCTTGCTATGTTTTTCTTTATTCACACAATTCACCTTAGAAAGTTTTAGGTTTATTCTAACATAGATTTTGGCATGTAAACAAAAAAGGCCTTATGAATTTTATGTTTTATTAAGGCATTTGAAATAGTGATGAAATCAGAATGAGAATCAATAAATATGCATACACTTAAGAAAACAGTATTTCTACACTCTGAAAATAAGAGTTAAACCAGTATCACATGCTGGTGTAAGTGTTCAGAGATTGCTGATTTTAGCAGCTATGTCCATTTACAGGACCTGAGAATCTGGTCCTATATATGTAAGTGGAAATAGAAATGAATGTATGTATATATATGTATATATAATCTCCCACTACACTGATCTAACATTGTAAACTTCCTTGAGTCCCAAAGCCTTTACCTATGCTGCAATATAAATTGTAGATAAGCATAGCTTGCAGCATATTTGAACAGACCTGAGCTACCTTTAATATACAGTAATAGTAAAGCAATCACAGCAGTGATCTCCATGCATATTAGCTGGTTAAGTCAATAGGTAGCTTTTGTATATTCAGCACTCTATAGGAAAGCAAAAGTTATTGTAGATTGAGTAACTATTAGAAAAATTGAAATAGCTTTTCAATGTTAGCCTAATAAAGATGAGAAGCCTAGATTTACCTTCACAAAACCTTCATAAAACCATATGCAGTCATGTAAATTTCTGACTGCAAAATGGGTAGAGAGTTGTTTTAAGGTGTGCTCCTGACTACTGTTCCCTGTTTTGAAGGATCTCCCTGTATTCAATTGGTCCAATGAGAGCTTTCAAGCTTTCGTTAGAGAATATTTTAATTTTTTTTTAAACTACAGTTCATACAGACTAACAAACACAACTCAGGATTCATGCTAACAATAAGATGGCCTGGAAAGAGAAAAGGAGCAGAAATAATAGAAAACTATTATCACAACACAAATCTTACCTTGATTAGTCAAGTAATGAAGATTCTTATTTCCAAGCCAATATTCACCATTAGTCAAAACAAAATTTCCAAAGCCTTCTTCATAGTCAGTCCAGCCTCTGTACATGAGTATAAATGACTAATTTAGTAAGCAAAAAAATAAGTTTGTTTCAGTATTTATTTTGTCATACAATCAGACAGACCGCAGAATAATTAAAGCTGAAGGGAAACCTAAGGATGCCATGGCAAGGAGTCTATTTTTCTCAACAGTCTCTCAAACAGCTCAGCTCTTAGTGACCTCCTTGTAGACACAGGCAGTCTGCTTTTAGATTGTACTGCAGCCATCCCTTCTCCAGGCTGAAGAAGCCACTTCCTGTCCTCATAGGACAAGTGCTCCAGCCCTTGATCATCTTACTAGCCTTCTGCTACCTATTTTTCTGTCTTACATTCTGCATACTGCAGCAAGTCCAACAAGACCAATGCTAGAATAAAAGTTTTAAAAAAATTACATCTTAAATACTTTGGTAACTTAACCTAAGAGTTGATCTGGATCATACAGGCAGTCTGTGATAGATCCAAAAATGTTACCTTATCTGGAGGCTGTCCCACTGAATCACTATTTTTCCTTTTTATCTGAGATAGTTTATCCATATAATTCTGAAGTTAATCAGTAACTTATCTCCTTCTGGTATATTGTTTCTCCAGTTTGTTTCCAACTTTAATGACCAAGTCTAGTACCTACCTATTGAAATTCTGGCTGCCATCAGAACGTCTCTGAAAAACAGTCCAACCACCCCCTTCAGACATGTCACAGAAAGCCAGGAATTCATTAGGACTGTGGGTAGGTTTCATCTTGTAAAATCCACTTCGCTTGTGGCCATCACTGTAGATTTCTGCACAGTCTGTTCACAAAACATCCATTGAATACAGTGTTTAGTTCTATACTTACTAGCAAAACAGAAAAGTCAATAAGGGAAATCAAGTCATATCAAGTAAGAGGCACATACGAAAAAAGCTAATAGAAAGCAAGTACATCACAAATACATTTTTATGGCTTCAATTCCTTTGGGTTAGGTGGTGCCATTTTAATTTACAATGGTGTAATCCACACTGGAATCCTGTTACAATCATAATTCTCCTACATATAAGCTATGCAATCTTCAGAAACAAAGATGTGGATGTAGAAGCACAGGAGAATTGCCAAATATGACAGTATGGAATTACCAGTGTTAGAAAGTAAACAATTACTGGACCTAATACTGTTGTGCCTTGTACCACACAGGTCCAAATATACACAGAAGTCTACCCTACAAAAAGCGTTATGTATGTCTAAAATGTTAAACTTGGCTTCATACCATTTTTCAGTCTGGTCTGCAACGGTTTCAAGGACTAATCACCATGTAAATCAGCATTTCAGAGGTCATGAAAATATAACAGTACTGCAATCATACCATCTTATCTCTTTTTCCTCAAGGAGTTTAGAAATGAAAGCAGTTATTTGTTTATATGTAATCTACCATCAAGCAGTCACACAGGAAAGCAGTATAGTTTTCAACATTACTGTTTTTCCTGGCAGAAGTGAAACTGATTAACTGTAAGATTTTTCCCTGAATTCTTTAAGAACATGTTGGCTGAACTTGCAGGCTAGTTTGGAACTTCATGAACTACAACATTTCTTCTCAGTGAAAGCATCAATGAAGACTAGACATAGAAAATACGAAGAGCTTGTAATGAAAACAAATAGCTATGCCAGCATTTGGACAAATTATAACAAAAAATATTCAAAATATTTTAAGTATGACAACTAAGATGTCTCTGCAGAAATGTTTTGAGTGGATTACAGAAAACAACTTTTCTTGCATCCATTATTTTCTCAGTAGGTAAGCAAAATACTTAGGTGTATTTTAATTTTAAGCAAGTGTATTTACTGTGGAATTCCTCCCTCACTGTATAGCTCCAAATTACCCAGATTTATTGACCTATAAAATGTAACAGCAGCCTGAATGAAATAATGCAGTATCAACAAGGGAAAGCATTTACCAAGCTATTAGGAAAGTGAAAAAAATAATCAACAGAAACCAGAAATAACTTAGATCTGTTATGCAGAATCAATTCAAAGAAAATTGAAGAATACACTTAAGAAAGGACAAAGACCTTTCAGCTAAATGTGTTTTTAATTTTTTTTTTTTTCCAGTAACAAAGAAGTCAGTCATAATAACAAAAGTGTCTTCCAGGATGCTGAATATGTAATTAAAAATAGAGATAAAATTTGAAGTCAGACTTACAACAGCTTTTAATTTTACTTCAATGGTGCCTTATTACATGCTTTCTTATATGCTGTATTTTCTTCCAGAAGCAAAAACACTACAATTATATTCAAACCCATGTATTAAATATCTTAGAAGTTTAGACTCTTCAGCACAGGACAACTAGAAACCAACACCAACCAAGAATCAGACCCCCAGAGTCTACTTACAATCCTATTACTGTTTGGATTTTTTAAAAAATATTATTTTAGAAGAGTTTAAGCCTTACTCCAGCTATGACAAGTTAACACACTTTGCCTTCTTCCACTGTAGAGGGACACAATCACCATCAAAACGCTGTTGAGGATACAAAGCCAACTTAAAACCTGGACTTTACACCTCCAGAAACAGTGATGTCTTGAGCTGAATTTAAGTTGGTCACTATTGCAACATAAAGAATATAATTAAGGTGAGGTCCAGACACCATCATAGCAAGCTCACATGGATGCTTTCAGGACTTTACAGGTTAGAACTCATACCTGCATACCTATATATATATATATATATATATATATATACACCATAACATATACCTATGTACCTCATATACCATATTCTGCAAGAACACTGTACATGCCTTTCTGAATTTGGGATTTGGTCTTAGATGTTGAGCATCTTCTATTTAACTAAACTAATTAAACTAATGACCATGCGCCCATCCTTCTCATTATCTTTCCTATTCTGCAGAGACATCTTGTTTCTAAACAAGATACTTAATTAGCAGAATATGGAGAACTTAATGTATGCTGAAGTATTGCTCTCTCATACAATTAACTAGTCTCTAACTAGTTTAGAAAGACTAAAGTCTCTTATTTCTTTATTCCAATTATATTTCAATTAATTTCAAAAATATTTTTATTTAAATTACTCTGCAAGTGGAATCAAGCTTTCAGCTCTCAAGCAAGATTCGAACATTCATTCAAGGCTAAAAGTCACAAAACACTATGCTCTAATATTAAAGTAGGAGTAATATTACAACAGAGCATCTTTACTGATAACACAACAAAGGATATTTTAATATTCCTTGTACTATTAGCTATTTTATGCAAGACTGTCATACATTGTTAACATTGACAGTTATGCATCTTAAAGGTAGAAGGATTAGTAAGTGCACTCTGAGCATCTTCTACAAATGTTTAGCCACATCAAGCTTTAAGATGTGCTGTTGGAAGATCTCTATAGATTTAGGGTAGCAGCACTTTATCTCCTTCCCCCAAGGCTTTCCAGATAATTTTTTTCCATCTGCCTTGTCTATATTAATGGAAAGGATTCTGAAGTTAATTATAGGAGTTACTAGGCCTAGTATATTCTACACTACAACAATGATTTTACCACATACAACAGATAATTACAAATTAAGAATTCTAATAATTCTAAGAATTCATCTAAGCATTCTTAAATAGGAATGCTTGAAAGCTTTAAAACTCCAGTGGTGCTGTACTTACAATTCTTCAGCATGATTTGTGCTTTCCTAACAGAAGACAGTTCTTTCCATAGTGCTAAACCACAGAAACTAAGTTGTCCCAGTAACCAGCATAATCTGCAATTGGTTTTATTTTACGGGGAATGGGCCACCAGAACTATTACTATTGTAGATAACAATAGAATTGTATCTTATGGTTAGGTATCACTTTTTATTTACAGTAGTCCTTTAAATGAGAATTCTCTTTTATATTGAGAGAAGCATTAACTTCAAAATGACTACTGCTTGCAGCTGAGAAAGGACTTTAAGATAGCTAAGCTTTTGGGACTATCTCTGTCAAAGAAATCATCTTAACATCTATCCAAAAACCAACCATATGAGTAGGTCATATATAACACCTCCTGTGTAATCTAATTTCATCATATTTCATTTCAACAAAATAGAAATAAAAATGTGGATTTTCTAGGCCACTTTAAAGGTATAGCTCTTTGTAGCAAGTACAGCCTTCTGTGTTATCATAGATGAAAGGTGTTTGTACAACTCTGTCTTGGTAACATAAAGAAGGTAACAACAGCTGACATGAGAGAGATGTGAGTGTACGCTGTCTCTGAAAAGATATTGTACTCACACACAATTATTGCCTCTAACCTGATAATCCTAAGTAGTAAATTGCAAGTACTGATATTTTCTGAAAATGACAATAAGGCTCATTAAACAACCAGGAAACTACCAGCTTATTTTTGAGAAAAATGAGTCAGCTTGAAATGTGTAAATGTGTACAGATGAGGAAAAGAGACCTAGACAACTAACCAGTTAAACCAGATCTCACACTTCCAATAGTTGCTCTGTCAAGATCAAGACCTACCTCCAGACCTAATCCTTCCCAGTGAACACCGCAAAAAGCCTGTCTGCAGGCTACTGTATTGACAACATAGGGTACAATAAGTAGGATCTTAGACCTCGAATGTTTGTATGTGAACTTCTAGGAGATTTTCTCACTGAAACATGGATTAGCAGATTGCAGGCTGCAAGATGGTACACAAACCATAGCACTCAGATTTCCATCTCCATGAGGTGTGTGTGAACTGGGGAATCTGCACTTCCAGAGCAGCTGTGAGTAACCCACCTCTGCAAGAGCAAGTGTGTGCCTGGGGCACTGAGAACATGTAAATGTGAACTGAGATAGAGCAACAGTTCTAAATCCTGTGTGTTAGAACTTCTTGAGATAAGTTAAGGGATGTTTGAAAATCTATAATAGTTTACTAACTTCTGTAAATGCCTTCTTATTGCCTTTTTCTCTGTTTTATTGCTGATAATGATTCTAAATGTACTGTTGAATGATCATTTTTTAATTATGCACTATTAATAAATTAATAAACCTCTTCAATCCTGATTTCATTTATATCGTGAGATGGAAATATTTTCCCCAGGACAGCAGGCCTAAGTAAGAGATAAACGCTGTGCTTTAAACAAACAATTTTCTGTGAGTTGTAAGACAATACATCAATGGATCTGATTGTGCTAAAGCTTCTTGGTATCACTACAGTGAACAGAAATGAATAGCTTCATTTCTAACCTGAATACTGTCTTTTTCCTCCCAAGTCAATGACACTGTTTTCATCTCCTCTGTCACTGTACTGCATCTTTTTCTTCTCTAAAAGCTGTATAATTTTTAACTGCTGCTGTTTCACACGATGTTCCAGAAGTCTCACCTGGGCCTGAAGTTGTAGCTGCTCTTGAAAACAGTTCTGTAGATCCTAGAAAGGAAAGCACCTTATTATAAAAAAATATTTTTTGTTGAGTCTAACATGTGAAAAAGAAAATAAAATCTAATATGAACAAAGTACTTTTCAACAATTCCCTACAGACCCTATGTTGACTTCCAACCCAACTGTTACCTCTATTTGAAGTGATTTGGTATTCTAGAGTGTGCAGCCACAAACAAATTCGCTTCAGTGATTCAGCTACCAGTTCTCACTGGTAAACAGACAGATGGGACTCAGTATACTAGACACCTGAACCTATTGTAATGATCACTTCCTGCCAACTTATCTACAGGTATTTGCTATCCACAAAAAAATGCTGCTAACATTAAGATTCTAAAAGGCACAGTTTTAAATAAATTCACATCTATACTTTTTCAACTTTATTGTTCATTTTTATTTTTAAATGTTAAATTTTTAAATAAATTATTTTTAAATGCTTTTATGTCACATACTTGTTATGATAAGAATGATAAGATCATAGGAACAGTAAGAACAATAAGACATAAATATTGTAAAATTTAGAGCACTTTTGTCTTGCCAAAATAAATAGTCCCTAAGAAACTACAAATATACACATGAAAAATAACAGCTTAAAGCCAGTATTGTACTGTGACTTGTGCACATAATTTTGCCATGCAAGAGTAGGGAGGATGCTGCAGTTCTGATATGATCGTACCTTCTAATCACATGAGCTAATGCGGTCTGTAACAACTGCCATCCATATGGAAGATTACAGTATGTTACAACACTGCCATATCACACTTAAGGAATAGGTAAATCTGAAGTAGCATACTTATATCCACCAGCATCAGTATAGTGCCATCATGCTCAGGCTTCATTTGTTTTTCACAAACACTACCACCAATGTTTTTGTCACTTTCTTGCTGCAGTGATTTTTTTTTTCCTTCTGTCTGATACAGCTCTGCACATTTCTATGCAGCAGAAACATGGTTCTGGTTGGATATTTCCCTGTAGCAACATTAGTAGTTCTCTACAACTTCAAGAATAGACTCTGAATTAGCTAACAGTATTGATAAGAAACTGCATTTTATTTTTAATTCATGTGGAATTTTCTTATAATTTATTTGTAGCACTAGTTAAAAATCAGGGGAACTTCTATTACTGCCATGAAACATACACACAAACTGTCACTATTATGATGTTATTTCTGACAGTGTGTTGCTGACATGCAAGATAATTTGTTTTTTGAATACTAGAATGCAATTCACTTTCAACTTAAGAAATTAGCTTGGTAAGTTAACATCAGCAGGTGGATAGTTAATACCAGGAAGGTGGTAGAGTCACTGACCCTGGAGGCATTCAAGAAACATTTGGATTTTGTGTTGAGGAGCATGGTTTAGTGAGTACTGTTGGTGATAGGTGGATGGTTGGACTAGATGATCTTGAAGGACTCCTCCAACTTTGATGATTCTGTGGTAAGTTTCAATAAAGTATTTTAAGCTGAAAGTATTTATGTCCATGGTTTTATTAAAATGGTTCAAAACCATCATGGTCCACTTGACTGTAATATTCAGTCTCATAGAAAAAGTGTGTTGACCACACATGCTGACTAGACAAAATGATATTGAGCATAGGCCTCTGCTGTAAGTACTGCTACAGATTATCACATGCTTGCTAAACTGCAAACTAATACATACAGTAGAATAAAAGAAGAGGGTATATACAGGTGGCAGGATGGAGCAGCACAGCTACCTCTCTGCAGCTGAGCTGCCCATACTAACCAGCTTTGACAGCAAGCTTGCCTGCAGGCTCCAACTGCTTGCTACTGTAATCCTGAGAAGCCATTAAAGTGTTTAACCACAAGGAGAAGTTGTAAAGTGAGAGACACAATTTAGTAAGTGACTGTTTTTGGAAAGAATTATAAAAATCATCTAGTGACCTGAAATCCCTAGAGGCTCATCTTATTTAAAAGTACTCCCTTTAAAATCTTTCAGAATCTACCTCCAGCATACTGCCTTGTGTACCACTATAAAACACCTTAACAGGCTGTAACTTGCTACTATTGCTTTTGATTGATATGAATTAAATTAAAACTGTTATAGCAGTAAAATATTTTAAAAATTGGAATTCGATTGTGACTGTCTCCAGCAGACAGTAGAGCCTACAGTATGACAATAAAATGAAGATAAGTTGCTCTGTTTCAGTGAAGTAACTGTTTGCACTACATGTTGAGAAGCAATTACTTAACAATTACTGACAGCTCTACTTGTGGACACGCAGTCCCATATTTAAACTATTTATAATCACAATCTTCATTTTATGCCATAGTTGCAAGAAATACTTAGCAGCTAGAGTCTTCTCATTAAAACTGATAACATAGAACAGAATAACTCATAAAAACCATGAATACACACAAACTTAATTTGAAGCATTCTTGCCATCTATCTTTAGACTATAAGTGAACTTAGAAGAAAAATCTCAAACGATACTAGAATACAAATTTTTAGAGATAGTTTTGGAACATTCTCAATTCTTACTATCAATGGCTACCTATAACATTTTAGCTGAAATAACAAAAGAAGGAAAGCCTACTTCATAACAATGCCTTTTCCTCAGTAATCACCTATTAAAATCCAGCAGATTTCTTCATTTTGTAGACAAAGATGGTTACAGAAGCAAATACTCCCTATTCTAAAAGCAGTTAGGCAAGTAAAACACTTCCACAAGGCAGAGTAAATAAAGCACTGAAACACAATGGAAAGCACAACAACAATAATGGAGTAACAAAATCACCAATTACAACAAGGATGAGCCCAAATACAGCAAAAAATAGACAACTTACCCTTAGAAGGCCTTAGATAGATAGGGAATACCAACAACATATTTATGCCTCTACCACCAACCCTTAAATGAGGTCTGGGAAGAGGTGGATCCTGACTCCACCCCTTCCTGTCACTCAGGTATATTGCATGCACCTGAACTCCCCTAGGTTGGCCCTGCCCTCCCACCAGGTGCTCAATCACTCTTTCAAGCTGTGACTTTGTATTTCTGCTAAAATATGCCACAAGAAATTATGCTCACCGAGTTCTAAGTTCAGTAATTACACTGGTAATTTTGAATCAACAATTCAATCTGCAAAGTCTCTGACTGTTGGGATCTCAATATCAAAGTAGGAAGGACATCCAAAACTGATATAGGATTAGTGACTGTAGCAGAAATGCTAAGTCATGGCTCAAAATAATGACTGAGCACCTGGTGGGAGGGCAGGACCAACCTAGGGGAGCTCAGGTGCATGCAATATACCTGAGTGACAGGAAGGGGTGGAGTCAGGATCCACCTCTTCCCAGACCTCATTTAAGGATTAGCAGAGGAGGTTAGGGAGTCTTGCTGGGGATTGTTGCCTATCTGAGGTTGTCTGAAGGTAAGCAGTTTGTTTGGTTTTTTTTTGTTGTTTATTTATTTATTTATTTTTCCCCTTTGTTGTTACATTTGGGTTTTCTTTTTTTGTTGTAGCCAAGGGTTTTGTTACTCTGCTATTATCATTGTACTTTCTATCGTGTTATAGCATTACAGTGAGGCTACAAGTGTTTTGATGGAATGAGCATGTTTTAGTATTTCTGTTGGTGAGGTAGAAGAAGGTATAAAAGGTTTCAGAAGATAAAGGAACCACAATCATTGTTTTTTAGTGCAAATTATAATGCAAGTATGGGAACAAAGGAGAGCTGTGGATCTTTTTAGATGAGAAGTTATATGGCTAATCAATCAGATAAAAAGTAACAGTAACATTCATTCTTTGTATCAGTAGGCTACTTCTGCAGTTACCAAGCTCATTATATACTAGCAATTTCTGAGTATTGCTTGTCTGTAGGTATAATGCTTAAAACTGAAGGTGTTACTTTGAGTTATCTTTACTACTAAATAGAGCAACTGCCTTCAGTGCATTTTCTTACAGCTTCTGTACTAATGCATACCTCTGTTGTGATAATGCAATTCCACTGTCTTCTTTTTCATACTGGTTCCAGTAACAAAGTAAATTACTTTATTTGAATATATGCTCTTACCTAATTCTTATATCCTGTTGTATATTTATGTGCCCATTTTTGCTTTTTGTATCAAAAACTTGTCTCCACTGAATGCTGAGGTTATCCCCCCCAGTTCTTCAGGTTTGTTTTGTATTATCTTTTAAATCAAAGAGTTGGCTATCAAATCTAGTTGGTGTTTTCTAAGAACTACAAAGAACAAGGTATGAAGTATTTAGAAGGAAGCCTAAACATAGTGAATAGAACTTACAGAGCTTGTAGTGGCAGCTGTCAAGCTAACTGCAAGGAGAAAATCAATCACTATCAAAATCTTCATTCTTTCAAAGCTGTGAAGTAGAGGATCAAAGGAAACAGTAATTAATGTAAGTATTAAAGCTAAATATTTACACTTTTTATGTATCTTCAAATATTATTAGAAATAATCTAATTAACCTGTAATTATATCCCTATATTTTACAAGTACAGGATATTTATGCTTTTATAGTGTGTAAATAGTGCAATCAAACACAACTTAGAATGAAATAAAAGCTATTCTTTTAGGCTACTATGTATTAGAGGTTTCTGCTAATTTCAGGACTGTTGTTGAAGGTTACAAAGAGATACAAATTATTGTAAAATAGAAACAAAAAATAGCCCTTTAAAATACTCTAAAAAGCAGGACAGTATTCCTTGTTGGTTTTCTAAAATTAGGATGAAAGCCTCTCTTACATTTAAGTAATAAGAATATGAATTTAATTAGTTATCCTTGAAGTAAGGAAAATCTCTTGTGCAACTTGTGTACCAGGAAAGGATGGAAGTAATTTTTCTATCACAGAGTAATTTCTGGATAAAATGTAATAGTCAGCAGCTTTTAGTCTAATGGTGACAACTTTTAGTCTAATGGTGACAAGTATCACGTCTGTCAACTGACAGCTATGTATACTTTGTATTGTATGAACTATTCAATTTTAAATCCTACTGCTTCATATGAAGATTATTTTATATGATGACAAACACCACTGTATCTGACTGCTTTACAAGCATTAGCTGGTATAACTTGAAGTATTTCCAGAATGTAGATTATCTTTCAATTCACAGATGACCAAGTTCTATTTGCATAGGCTATACACAAAGCAATTTTAAATTAATTATTTGAACTGATTCAAGTGATCAGATGAGGGATTTTTTTTTCTGGTGAGATGAATTCACAAGAACTGTCTGGCATTCACTTCTGTTGTTAATTTGGATTTCAGAGTGTTTTTTTAATAGAACATGCCTTTTCATGAATTATGACTGCAGTGATTATGGCAATGCAGCTGTTGCCGTGTATTGCAATGACACTGTCTGTTGTGGCAGAGTAGTGACCAAACAGCATGTTACCTGTCTGGACAGGCTACAGGTGACCTGTATTTGATTATTTCAGCCCCTACTCCATATCAGGTTAAGTATGTCACATCAAATCTTGTATTCATAGGGTCTTTGTGTGTCTCTCCTGTTCCCTCCTCTGGACAGATACAGAGACAAACATGGACATAAATATAGGGTGAGTGGGATTTCCTGGCCTGCTCTGATACAGCACATAATTCCAAACTTTTGGGCTAGCTTTGGGAAATGCCACTCAATAATGAACATTTTGTTATATGCAAGATGTTTAGTTGATACCCTATAATCAACCTGTGAAAATCATGCTTTAAATCACCTCAAATTTATTTTATAAATTGTATTTCAGGTGTCATTTCATTAACTGTAAGTGTTCTAGGGAGAGTTTTACTCTCTGACTACATAAAGCATCAAAGAATGGAAAGGAAACTGAAGGTCATAAGGTCAAATATTTTCATTTTTACAACAAAACAGTACAAAATTAATGCTTTACTTTGTTTTCTAATCTGTGGAAGAGAGAAGAGTTGTAAGATCTGTCGTGTCATTCACTTGGAGAATAGATCTCCAAGAAACAAAGAAAGAAAGGAAAAAAAAAAAACACCCAGAAATGACCTCACCACAGAAAATGGAAAACAATACATTAAAAATATTAAGGAGTGTTGTTCCTTCTGCAAGAACACCCAGATCTTAATCCATGTCTCAGATGAAAGCAAGTGCATACTTAGCTTTTTTTTTCGTGTTGCTGATGTTGGCTAAGTCTAAGGAGACAGCTTTTGCTGAGGTATTCAAAGCTTTTGTTCTAAAACCAGTTTGTTTCATAAAACCAGTATTTGCCAGTTCAAATAAATAAAAGTAACTTGTGCTGGAGATGCTCGTTGCTATGAAAAACATCTCAGATAATAGACATGAGGCTTAATTAGCACACATAACAGAATGCTGGATCTTACTGAAATGTTTTTTGAGTTAAAAGCATAAGCCCTTAATAGCTGCTTTCTGTATTAGTAAAAGGGAGGTTTAAGGGCAAGTCTTGTGAAACTTCACAGTTTTATTCATATCAAATTATATGTATAGTCTAAGATTACACCTGGATATGTACTTTTATGATGATATGGAAAGATTTCTCCTATAATTAAGTTATTAATTTATAATATAATTAACTTTCTTTCTGCGTAATTAAAATTATGGAAAAGTACCTCTAAAGATTCCTGCATTTCTGTGCCTGGGCTTTCTTTACAGGCAAACATGAGAATCTGTCTGCCAAAAGCACATCTACTGATTTCAAACCTGTCTAAATGATCATGTACAAACTGTGCTTTGTTAGCACATTGGGCACAAAAATTGAGCCCATTTCCTTATCTGAAAAATGGACACTCATTCATGATTTTATCCATTTCTAGGCCTGGAAAGCAACCCTTATTTAAGAGCAATGCATTATTATAATCTAATGAACTACAAATTTGAATATGAAGTTTATTAACAAACTAACTAGATAGCACAGCAAATTAGCTAGATACTACTGAAGCAACACATTGATTGTTAGCAACATGGTATGATGTCATATGGCCTTTACAAATAAACTACTTTTAGTCCCTAGCTATCCAAATTATGCTAAATTCTTCCTCCCCCACAGGTAACTAAAATATTTACCTTTATCCTCTGGAAAGAACTCAAAGCTGTTAAATCTTCTTAAGCTGATGCAAAGAATTCCAGACCCCTTCCCAGACTGCGATTGTTTTTGCTATTAAATTCTGTAGTGCTGAGGCTTACATCTGCTATGAGTCAGTGGGCAGGAATGTTACTGAGGAGCTGCAGTTCTCAAGACTGATTGCAGCATAAGAAGGAAGATAATTCTTTGTCTAACACAGCAATTCTGAAATAAAATAGACCAAAAATAACAATCATTTGCTTTCTTTTACTGCTGTGATCCAAGAAATTGGTCTCAGAATGACATCCAGCTTTCCTGAAATGGAACCTAAATCTCTTAGGCTTCAGAGCTAGAAAGAGCTTAACTGACTTGACCGATCAGTAACACTCTCAGAATATAACTTAATGGTTAGAGCTGATGTAGTAAAAATCTGCTTAAAACAAACAAAAGAGAAAACAATACAGACAACGGCAAGGAGAACAGGGAGGAAAAGAGAGGATCCCGTATGATGTAGTTATTTTTTAGCTGAACTGAAAGGCACCTGGAAGCGTGTGAGCTCAGTGACTCAGTTGGAAATAATCACTTTGTATATAAGCATCTTAGATACAGATGAATACAACAAACTTTTTGAAAAATGTAATTTGTTCTAAGTATTTGCTCTCCAATTATGCTAGTTCTTTCCAAATAGTTCAGCAAATGACTTTCTGGACTGCTTCTAGTCAAAGTGTGCTCAAGGAAATACAGAACAACAGAAATAAAGATCTTTACATTCCACAAATACACTCTCAACTTACTTTTGAAGACAAACATTTGTTGAACCTTCAATTTTTTTCTTATCTGGAACCCAATTACCTGGCAGTATCTCTCTTTACTAATTACAATACATTTTAACTGAATTGAGTTTAAGTACTTGAAACGAACTCCTCATGAATGGCCAACACTAAGAATCCTTAAAAAGAAGTGATCAGCAGTTAATTTTCATGGGGAATTTCACTATGGTTATTGACTTTAGGAAGGAGGTATTGTAACTGTTTATAGCATGGCTCCTGACTTAGCTTGTAAAAGTATAATACTCAGTGTATAGGCTCTAACTGAGGAAGTAGAAAAAGGCATGATGTTTTCAACTGGGATTTATTAAGGATTCAAACAAATTATCGAGGACTAGAATTTACCATTTAATGTTTTTAAACTGAGACTAGATGGCTAGAATTATGGCTGTGGTTCAGTTAAACATGACTAAATTCAGAGCAAGAGCTATGTACAGCAACAAGTCAAATCTGTTATTCAAGAGGTCTATAAGCTACATATCAACTGAGTGATTTTACAAGAATAAATATATTAAATAGAAGATTCTTAGAGTCTGCAAATAGAAATAAGCACAGAAGGAAAAGACCTGGCTGCTCACACAAACTTCCTTTGGATTTGCTGCTCTTGGGGTGGTTTTCACAGAAGTGTAAAAACACATGCAAGGATTATTATTTATTTCAGGTTTTTGTCAAAAGTACATTTAAAGAATAAAATTATATTGCTCACTTTAACACTAACCCATATGCTTATATTACCTCCCCTAAGCGAGGCAAAATTTGTTGTGTTTAATCCCTTTATTTTTGGAAAAGTTTTCGGTAAATAACTAAAAGTAATGCAGTAGACTTTGCTCCAAGTGTATTAGACCTTTCAGCCATGTATTTCCTGAGATATTTTAGCTGGTAGCAGTTCAACAGCTTATAAAATCAGAAAATATGGGATAATGTTTTTGTATCACCCTTTTATCATTCAGTCTTAAAAGAAATTGCAAGCTCATGAGAAGCTTTTGTGGTACAATGAGTCACCAATTTTCCATGATAAAATCTAATATAGGTGTTAAATGCTATTTATAAAACTGACTCTTATCTAGGAAAGTTTTAAATCACAAACATCACAGAGAAATTTGAGAGGGTCAAAGGCTGTACAACGATGACGTGGTAACATCGTGCTTGCCAAAAAACTACTTCCATTCCATCTGTTACAAATTAATTTGTTTGTATTCTTCTCAGGATTGTTTCGTTTAATGCTAAGGGTAAAATAGAAGACGTGTGATGGACTCCATTTAGGTTTGACTCAAATCACATTTGAAAACATGCATTCAGCATTACATATCCAACAAGGGGCAAACAGTCTTTCACATTTTCTAAACAGTAACAACAGCATAAAGAAAATGCTTTTAAGTGGCTTTTTAGTTTCTCAGCTTAGCCACCAGGCTTTTTCTGAATATGGTACCTTGTTATCCCCAGTAATGTGTAAGTGTAACCATTTTTGTTTGTTTTTCATTTTTTCACTAAAACAGAGCTGAAATCAAAGATAAGCCAACTTCAGCTTTATGCACTTTTTCCTTTGTATGTTTATATTTTTAAAGGTAGCCTCCTTTACAATAGTAAGTGTACAATTTTTTCCATTGACTAACTCTAAAATTGTCTCCCATGTTTATAATTAAATCTGGTTCAGTAGTTATTGTAATTGATAATGTGCCAGTTGCCAGAGTACTGTTATATCTTCATGTTGTAATTTTATTCCACAAATGAAAATGCTACATAAGAGGTTTACACAAATTTCTATTTCTCATGGCTATCTGCATAGCTGGCTGCCATGTTAAATGGCCTCCAATCCTCCAGAGACCATTGATGAAGGTGATTATAATGCCCCTCATTGGTGTGGAGTTACTTTAGATTGTTCAACAGTTCACTTGGGTTGTATTTACTGAAGATTAACTTACAAGTTCAATGAGTAAAAATAAAGAAAAACAACAGTTTGGCCTGCAATAAGTTATACCACTGAATTTCTAGAAGTTAAATATACTTATTAGGCATTTTATGCTAATTTGGAGCCACATGAAAAAACAGAATGTGATACTAACTTCAGCATTAATATTCCCAGTGATCCTAGTTACTAAAGCTATTCAACACTTCAAAATTCCAAAGGAATAATTAGAACAACATAAAGGGAATCTTACTTAGTTAAAAGACTGCATCTCTCTTACGTGGACTACTCATTCACATGAAAGATGGTTATATCAAAGTATTAAAATAGCTACACAACCATATAAAGTTAAAGTGACATGCTCATGAGGTGTTCATGATGGGCATTTTTGATGCAATTACTATTTATAGGATAGCCTATGATGTTCTGCATATATACACATAACAAATCATCAAAATGACTCAGTATCACTGTTCACTCTTCTAATTCTCCACATATTTGGCACTACCATGAGTTCTTAATTACTTTCTTTCCCACAGTTGCTCTACTGACAAATTTTTCTCTAATTGTTGCCTTCCTCCAGTATTTTACTCTTCTGCTTCCTTCATTCCAATGATGTGCAGTTCCATGAGTAATATCCCATGCCACTTCAGTGGTGCTCAGGCTTCAGGAAAGCTACCTGAATCTGTGGTCCACCAGATGCCTCAGTCTTTAGAGCAGGCAGTGGCCATATATTGTTTCACTTTCCTATCTGCCTAAGGTATGTAATGCACTTGTTTATACATTACAGTTAATTATTCCCCTCATGAAGTTTATGAATACTTTGCTTTTCAATACCAGATGAACGAGAGTGCTACACGCCAATACTTTACTTTTGGACAAATAAAAACTTAACAGCTCTTGATTCTTTTAACATGAGGTCTTCAAAATGGCTTGCCACTATTCCATTGAGAGCAATGGAATATTCAGAAATACTGAAGTTAATGTATAAACTTCTGCACATTTCATCCACTGCAAATTAATTGCACAGAGTGACCAGGACCTATGACTGCATTGTACAGTACGTAAATAACAGGTCTAAGTTTTGCGTAACTACATGATGAATTCGAAATGTTAGGATAATGAACGTGATTCCCTGATGAGGCCAAAAATTGAAATGACAGCATGAACTATTTTTCTGATGTACTGTTCTAGTACACAACAATAAACCTCAGTCTTTAAAGAATTAACCTCATTTTGTGTAGTCTTTTAAGAAACAGGTATAAAATTTAGACATATATGGAAATCAGCAACAAACCATTTTTTTTTTTTTTTTTTTACCATTACCATTACCATGGACAGGATGGAAATTCAATGTAATTAAACATTTTATAACACTCCGAATATTGGGAAACCTTAACATTTCTCACTAAAAAAAAAAAAGGAGCAGTTCCTCCCATAGATAGTAGCAACAGCAGTACTATTAGCATAGATAGAACATATAACAAGTTTAAAGTGTAACAAGCATCTAGATCTTTATACACGTCAAATATGAATTAAGCTCTGCTGTGTGGAAGAGTATATGGTTGACAGGTGACTTGCTGAAGATCTTAGTGTAAGAGCATAGAAGGATATTCTTGTCCTTTGATTCAATTCAGATGGAGCAATACATGTGGTACTTCCAAGCTATGCAATCATTTTATCTTCACGTATCTTTTATGTTTTCATTTTTCCTTCAGTCTGGCAGGTGTTTAGATAGAGACTCCAGAAATCTAAATAACCTGGACAGTGTTGTAATGCACGATGACCATCCCAGATACTATGAATTGGAGGCTGTTCCTACTTACTTGTCTGAGGAATCTGCAAATATGCCTAACTCAAATTTATCATTTCAGAACAGCCATTTTTAAGTGCTTTTGCTATCCAGGGAATGAACTGCAGATGTTATTACTGAACCAGAAACAAACATAATAAGTAGATGAGACTGTCATAACTAAGAGTACAGTGTATCAAAAGTAACGCTCAAGTAAACACAAAGATGGACGTGCAGATTAAGCACTTTATTTGGAGATTGTTTGTGAAACTGGATCTGAAATTAAAAGTGGAACAGTGCTTACAACCTTGCTAGTTTCTGTGCTACAGAGACCTTCTTTAAGATGATCTTCAAAATGGGCTGTAATGGAGCCTGCTTTGAAAGCAGAAAATGAGCACATGTATTCTCCTAGGGCTGCTTAAGCAGGGCAACAGCAGTGCTCATGATGTGTTTTGGTTGTGAGAAATAAGCATGCTTAATAAAACCAAACTGATTACATCTTGTCTCCACCCCATCAATTACACAACTAGAAAACATCTTTCCAATCTAGTGTTATGCAAAAATAGGAAAAAATAACTTTAGTACAGTAGTCTGATAGATGGTGTGTAGCCATATTTCATGGCATACAGAGATTTTTGGCCAGTTTCATTTTTGCAAAAAAAAAAAAA